AATATGTTCACAAGTACGTGGACATAATACACATTTGAATATCCATAAAAGCGGTATTCTGTTTTTGGTTTATCTTGTAAAATGTATTTTCTGTTAGTATAAAACAACACTCGACCCGACCGTTTTAACTACTCGTTTATTAAGTCGTATTGTATTAAAAATAAAAAAACTTATTTAATTCTTATAAACCACTAATGATTACCATGCCCATTGAAAACTAACAATAGTAAAGCGTTCATTTTAAATAGATCCGTGTGTACAATATTCTTAAACGCCTAATCAATGTAATAAGCAAATAAAAAGAGTAATCTAAAAATATAACGAAGGGCTTGAGAAGTTTAGGCACATAAAATCTTCTTCAAACACTTAAAAGTCTAGGGTAAAAAAAAGTACATTAGACTATCCCAGGTTGATTGCTGAAGTATTGTGGAAGTATTAAGAGTTATAACAAAACTCTTAATACTTATTAAGAGTTTTGTTAGAATGTGTAGAACGCCACGGGAGCGTTCCTAATGAAAAATTACAGTAAATTTATCCTAGAAATAATTTTGGGTCAGTTTAAGCACATGGTCTAAACCGTAAACGTCCATGCTGTATTATGCAAACGACGTAGGTTATTTATTGCATAGGTACGGTAGCAAGTGTTTTTGAATGTTCATTATAGCCAATTCCGATGTTTCGTTACATTTTATTTGACGTTTTTGCATAATATTATGTCGGTTTTACCGTTTACAAGTAAAACGTTCTATAACAATAATATGCACCCTAATGAAAAACGAGTTTTTGACGTAGACAACGGCAATTGAGTTCCTGAATAATAATTCAAACACGATCATTAGAACTACTTTGATTAATTAGTCTAGTTTTTATGCGGTAATTTTAACTGGAAAATGCTGCACTATCGACTTGTATGGGTAATTAATAATATGCATTTACCATCAGACCCGTAACATTTATAACATTATCACGGTTTAAGGTTTATTGAATTAATACAAAAAACCCGTTAACTTGTGTTAAATTATTATTGTAATCGTGTTTTTTTATTGTTATTATTATTATAATTTTTCTTCTTCCGGTTTGAGAAGTCCGTTTGGCGTACAATTAAAAATACAAGTGTAATTCAAGACATTAGCCCCTTCCGCCCTATTAAAAGTTACAATGTATGTATTTATATGTTTTTGAGTAGGGTTTCGCGTGTTCGTTTCCAAGTGCAATAACAATAACTTAAAAGTTTCTGTGATAGGTATTAATAGCAATAATAGCGCTCTGTCAAAAAGCACATAACACTATGCTATCAAATAGGCGAGGGGGCGAAATTTGGGCTCTGTTGTTTTCCTATAATATTATTAAACAGAAACATATTGCCATTGGTTATAGCCATCTATATTGGTTGGGAAATTAATTTAAAAAAATAATTCTCGTGGTTTTTAATCAATATAGTTGAAGTTCGATGGGATGTACATAAAAAGTATGATGTTTTAAATGTTTAAAAGTAAACAAATTTAAAAAATCTTTTTGATTATGCCATTCTGTAAATTCGCTTGACAGTAAACCCGAATTTACATTTAAAAAAAAAGTTTTTCTTTTCGGTAAACCATTGTGCTGTTGCACGGTTTATATGTAAGTTGTGACTGCAAAAAAAAGTACAATCTGTATTCCATTAGACGTTGGCCGCTCGCACCTAATGCATTTTATTTTTTGTTAGAAAATCTGGGTTAGAAATTTACTTACTACTATTGTATGCAGCATACGTAGTCCACATTGTGTGTGCAAATAGCTTTTAATGGAAATTTACTCACGAAGGGCAAAACTTTTTAAATATTTTAAAGGAATATCATAAAAACGAAAATATGATCCGTTTGGTATCTTTTACCGGCTTAGGTCAAACAACTTAGTCTTTTTATGAGTTTTTTAAATTAAAAATATCATTATCTATTTTCTATAAATATCAACAAGTATGAGTTAACTTTGTGCACTGTGTATTTTATGAAAAAAATATTGAAACTTGAAATTTAAAAAGCTTTTCCTGTATGTTTTTTCTATTACTAAGAATACTGTTACTAACAAAAGTGTACACAATAAATGCGCAGATTGAGTTGACTTGCTTTTTTTATTTACAAAAACTAAAACTCCGTCGAGTTTATAGCCATTTTCAAAGAACCTGAACAATATTTGATTTTTCAAAACATTTGTATTACCGAGACTGGACTGTAATTATAAACGGCACATTCCTTCGAAACGTACCATTTCCTGTAAATGTGCTTTCGCCTAATATTCTGCAATTTATAAAAAGCCGTATTGATAACCGTACACTGTTCCATAATTCTGTGTGCAGATGGAATTTGAATTCTTGCATAAATCCGATAAGCCCGAAACACAAGGTTCTGCATAACATTTTCAAGACAATTCTCAACAAGCTTCAACGACTTAAATTTTTCCTTGGACTGTAAAATAAAACCAAAATATTGTTGAGATTCTTATTTTGTTGTAATGAACTAATTGTCTTTATTTATGATTTTGCTTTCTATTTTCGATTTACGTTTATTTCTTTTGAATTTTCTACCTCGTGTCGGTATACATACATAAATAAATATAATAAATCATAAATGTTACATTTTCAATACACCCGAAATCGTCAATTTTTGTCGACGATTTTATATTGAGTATTTCAGACAGATTGTTTTATTTTTAGTTGAGGATTTTCCATAAAATATGGATCATAAAACAAAGTAAATAAAAGCAGAATTATTTTTCTTGAAAATAAAAATAAAAATAATAAACTTTTTCATGAAACATATAGCTATAACTGACTGTTTCTTTACTTTTTTTTCAAAATATTTTGGCATAAAATATGAAATTAAAAAAGGCAAGGTTTTTAAGTGTATTTCGTTTAAATTTGTATTTTCGGGCTTACATTTCGAAACGGTACGCCTTTATTTATCACTTTGCTTATGGTGTTTACATAATGTGCTAACACCATTTTATATTTCATATTGCCAATATAGAAGATTGATTTAAGAAAGTTATAGTACGTTTAAATCATTGGGTATAGTTGTTTGGTAGTTTCCAAAGACGTCAAACTTCGCACACTCAGAGAATTATAAATTGCTAATTTTTCATTACAAAACGAGGGCGGAATCTACTTGCTGTACACTTAAGTACATTATTTTTTCAAATCGTTTATCACAGGAAAAATCATAACGTAATGAGCAAATGGGTTGAATACCTGTTCTTTGCTCTATTTTTGTTCAAAGCTCAAACGGTTTTCAATCATCATTATATTATTTTAATTGGTACCACATAATCGTCTAGACGTGAGCTACATATTATCATGATTGGTACAACTAATACATATGTTCATGGATAACAAAAATTTAATCTGCACTTTAACTACCGACAACGATGATTATGTATGCTGTGTGGCTATTTGAATATTTGCATTGTTCGCCTGTCATTAATGTTGTTGATTGTAAATAGTAAAAAACGGAAATTCAATAATAGCGTATAGCATTGAAATACTAAGTAAATTACACAGGTATTTTTTACTACTACCGCGTGTACTAAAAAAAAATAAATATTCGGCTTTTGATCCTACACCCAAACATGCACACCGACTATACCGTAGGTCGTACTCGAATTTGTTTTATTTCACGTTGACGACACGCAGAGAATCGAACAATAGTAATAATAATAATCATAATAACAATAACAATAATGATGTTTAAAAAATGTGTTATAGTTTTATTCGTAAAGTCACGTCGGTGGAATTCGAAAATATATTACTGTGCTCATGTAAAAGCAATTGGAATACACAATCATAAATAATATAATAGTGACCGGACCCGCAGATAATATTGCAGCGTAAAATTTGCATATATAAAATTGTACAACGCATAAATCCCATTATTTTTTTTGTATTATGTTGATTGGACAAACGGAGAAAAAACATAAAAATTGTACGACACGCAAAAATAACTCACCGGGTTTTATTTTTACTTTACGATGAGATTATTTTAAAAATTATTATCCTTTTATCATCAAAGCAGTATTTTTTTATGGTTAATATTATTACGTTTTAAAACGCAAATCAAATAATTATAATATTATGTACTCAATAATTGTACAGCCAGTATATTTTATCGAAATACGATGAAAAATAAATAATTGTATGTGAACCGCGCCGTTAAAAAAAAACACTAAAACTCATTTTTTATTTACATTAACAATACATTGGTTAAGACTGTCAACAAACGTGACAAATTTAAATTTAATGTTTACAGAAATAACTTAAAAATATTTTTTTATTCATTCGACAAAATATTAATGATATCACACGATATAAAAACCACCAAAATAATTTTTAAAATTGTTAATCATTTGCATGTAAAAAAATTACCCAATTTGTTTTCAATTTCAAAAACTACTGTTTCAGTTTCGTCAAATTAAACTAAAACAATTTAAGTGCAGCCGCGTCAGGACTCGATTCGTCTAAATGGCTAATTAAACTTGGAGTGCTCACTAAAACAATCAACTAAATACATAACTAATTTTGTCCATTATATTATACGCTATTTTCTCACAAGCCCATTGTGTGATCTGCCTGAAATATCATAAGTCAAAACAGATCCATCAACTAGTACTGCGTACTACGGATATCATTCTGTCGAACTCCTATACTTATTACAAATAGGCTTTATAAAATACATCATCAGCGGTTTAGCAATTAAATGGAAATTATTCTAATTTGTTTAGGAGAAAATGTATTTTAATAACAAAACATACAATAGTGTTCTTTAATATTGCCAAATAACAATAAAACAATGGTATACACTTTCAACTTATCCACCTAGCTATTACTCTACGCACTTTTTGTTTTTGTTTTCCGAGTTGTGTTGACTTTGATGCGCGTAGTCTATTTTCGTATACAGCCAAAACCAATTTTGACCACGTTATACGTTTTCAACACAATTTTTTATGTAATGAAATTTGTATTTTTTCAGTTCCATCGACAAGAAGCGGCTTTTGTTTTTGTAACGCGTGTGCTAGAACAATTAACACAATACAGCCAACTACTATCAGTGAGTATAATTTAGTCGTGCAAATGGTTATTTATTTATTTTTTTTTAGTTCATAAACCGCTACCATAATAAACTTAGAATAATACCGGACGTATATTAATAAGTATGCACTATTAGCGTTGTAAAATTTAATTAACGGCATTAATGATAATTAATATACAGACAGAAAAGTAAGGCATACGTTTAAACCATTAAATGTATTGTTGTGTGGGTACTGGATAATCTATACCATATAATTTGAATACCTAATTGAAAACTTACCGTTACGCAACGATTAAGTTTTATTTTCAACATAAATATTTAAAAAGGGACGTAAAACATATTTTACCGGTAAAAAAATGTATTATAAAACTACGCCATTATTTCTAATAAAACGTTATTACCCAGCTTATTTGTGAAAAATATATTACGTTCGTGCAAACATAATATGTGTATAGGTTTAACGTGTAGCCAACAATTTAGTTATTGTTATATATTGTCAACAACAAATTGAATAAGTTACAAAGTCAATTTAATATTTTATTTCCAGAGAAGTATTTTTTAAAAGAATAAAATAAACAATGTGCTTTGTCCGTTTAAGTTTTTTGCGTGACGCAGTTTTCTTTATTTTTTCACAAACAATATTTTATCGAGAACACGGCAAAAAGAAGTCAATAATAATATAATATTATCGAAATAGAATTTACAATTTTTGTTTTAATAATTGTCTTATGAAAATTTTCATATTGAGAAAATAAAATGTTCAATAATAATATGAATTTACAAGGACATAGGTATATTTGCCGTATATTCTTTAATATACCGTATTGTATTTTTAAGCATCTATACATATACCTTGTCTTGTAAAGATTTCAACCGTTTGATTTTGTTTCTGTAAAATTTGAAAAAAAAATAAATGTTTGCTTATTTTTTGTCTAAACTTTAATTCACTCATTACAAACCGTTTTCTATTAAATCAAAACAATTTACACTGGTAAGCGGGTAAATTCTGTTGACAGTTTACAAACATTTTTGAGACCACCGTAAACCTAGTTTAATCACTTTTTCTGTGAGGAAAATGGTACATGGTCGCGCTGATAATACCTAAACACAGTCTGGAAAGTTGTTGGCCCCATTTTTAGAAAGGAAAATCACATTGGTAAGTTTGAGAAAAACAAATAAACAAGTTGTTTGCAAGGGAAATTATTTGTATAGTTCAATGTAGCTGGGCTACACGTGTGTGTGTGTGTGTGTGTGTAGATAAAAGTTAAAACATAGTACTACATTTCTCTCAACATTTTCTACCCCGAAATTCCTCATTCATGCAATTGAACGTCTTATCAGACATAAATTGCCGACCACACTGCATAATATGATGTGCTTATGTAGTAATACTTAATTGTCGATTAATTTAATTGTTGTTTAATCAGATGGAATCTGTATTGGAGAATGAACAATAAATTATAAAACAAAATTATTACAACAATTTTACATTTTACATTTATGTTTTATAAATTGTACGTAATTGAAATGTATCAACTCAAAATAAATATTTTTTTACTAAAAGGCGGAAAATAGCCGGCTTTCATAACACGCGCGTGTGTGTGAATTACGATACATTTCTATACTGTTTTGCATTGGGCTTAATGCGAACTACCTTTATAATCCGAATACCACACGGTTGTTTCAATATTAAAATTTTAGTTTAATACAGATAGTTGCGATTGGAAAGGAAAACGGCTATATTATTATTATACACTTGGTAGACCCTTAGAAAAGTCGGTCTACTGAACACCCATCAAAAATCCATAACCTTAAATAAACTACAGATTAATTTGTCTCGTTGCGTAATGCGTTGTTTCTGGATACACATGTGCACTCCCGTCGGGACTACAATTGCATAGCAAAACAATAATTACACGATATTCGAATTGCATGGGGTTAGTATGCGGTCCAGCTTCCTCTTTTTACAGCGGTACGGGCAGGCATCCAAAAAGAGGGGGTTAGACTGCATTGATTCCATAAACTGTACACATATTACATAAATTCCATGCGTTGTGAAACAAAATTGATGACCCAGTTCGATATGAAGTGGTAGGTATAATATCGTAACTGTGTATGCATTTAACGGACAATGGTTCGTCCGTGTAATATATATTTTATCCTCCTCCTTCTCATTATTGCTTCTTGACCGGCCATTATTATTATTATTCCGATTTGGAATGAGATCAAAACGTAGAATGAGAATCTACACACGAGACATGTTAAGTGATGTTTAGCCGATCATGATACGCAACGACAAGAATTTTATACTAATTAATATCACACAGTATCAAAACGTTTTTATTGCCGAAAATCAAATCATTCTCCAAATCAATGTAAACACGGCGAGTCATTTAATTCGTTTACCCGTTTGGCGTATAAAACTCCTGGATTACATAAATTGTGTGCATGTCTGTACAAACAAGATCGGACCGGCTTAAAGTCTCTACCAAGTGATTTAGTTTAAGAAGTCTATAAAAAATAATAATATATATATATAAAGAAAGAAAGAGAGGCCAAACATTTAGTCCACTCGTTCGGCCTGTGCTATTGTCGTGGAAAAATTGAATCCGTTTGCTGGTCGATTGTTGTATAAGCTAAAGTAATTTTAATCTTTTCAGTCTGCAGAGAGGATCTATTAAAAATAAATCGTAATAGATTTAATTAAACTAAAGGATCAGCGCTGTTTGTCTAACTGACGGGAAAAGTCATATATTCCACAGCACATCAGATATACTAGTGGAAAACATACACAAGGCAGTGCTAGTACAGTTAAAGTCAGTTTAAACTTGATTCGATTTATTCCGGGTTAAGCTCAGCTCTTTAGTTTCTGGATTTACTTGCTATAGTGTGTAATATTCTATTAAATTTTCTATTAGAGAAAAAATATGTATTTTAAAATAAAAGACAAATTTTATGACGGTAATTTTTGTTAAAATATCGTGTGTTTCCAAATTAACGAGTTAGTCCATTAAGTTTCTGTTAGCAGTTAGGTTATAGTTTAACAGTGTAAACACTGTAGTAAACTATGTTCTAGCCACTTTTTTAACGTCCCATCTTTAGCCTTTAGCCTATAGCCTTTATCAATGACACAGCGACATCGCTATAATACAGTGAACGGCGACTACTCAAAGAATGACCGACTTAGATTATTGCCTTTTGACATCGGCTTAAAAGCAATGGTCGGGCTAAGCATCCTCATAATTTGTTGTTGTTGAACTATCACCGGGCCGCCATTTTTTTGATTTATGTCAAATACTAATCATAATAATATAAATATTATGCTAATGCATGCCGAGTACGAAATTAAACACTAACCGCGGTAACGCTTACCGCTCGACAGTTATGTTAAAAAAACGTATAAATAATTTATAATATTATCATTCGTAAATTTTTATTTTTATTCTACCAAAGCACTTTCGAGTCGGTCTACGCAATTACGAGTCTACACCACCACGACTTGTACGCTTTTATTGAAAAATTAACTCTTAAATTTACATTTTAACGAGCAACCGTGATCGCATTTATTTAACTGACTGTCCAAATGGTATAAACAAGTTATATTGCTTTAAACGCTTTTAGTCGGCGGTGAAGTATTTGTAACTACGACGTCGCACTTTTCTTTGTCTGCCGCTGCGCTGTTCAGCCGTGCGCTCTCCGACCAAGAGCATGTAATACTATTTTTTTTTTTTTAAATTAAAAACGTGTGACAACTTATTGACAATCGACGACAGCGAGAATGATTGATAAATGATTTACAAACTTGTGAGACGACGCGTTTGTTGACACGCGTACCATCCAGTCCCTGAACATTTCAGTTTAAACACGTGTGTTCATAAAAAATGCAATGTTTCACATTTCATCTCGTCGAAAGCACTAACTTTTTTATGTGTTTCGATTGTGTATATATACATACATTATACATACATTCATACACACCTGCGCGGCTATGCATGTACCAATACCGTATTATAGTGAACAGATAGTGTAGTACATTAGTATTACATGCTATCAGAATTATAAATTGGTTACGCTATTGTTGTTCTTTTTATACTATTTTTACACTATAAATGTAAAAAATAGAAATTTTTCATACAATCAAAAAGGCTATTGAATAATTTAAATATACTCATTTAAACTGTTTTTCCATCAAATAGTTAAAGATATTAATCTATCCTAATACCGAAAACCTCGCCCAATATAATATAATTAAAACCGTAAAAATGGCGTACAGTATAAACCGTGTGGGAGTCACAAAATTCGAAATAAGATGAAAGCTAATGTCGGTTTTAGACGGTGTTCACACAATCGAAAAGGATAAATAAAGAAGAATTTTCACTCTTCTGAAGGAAACGATTTTTGATTTTTTTTTTCTGAAGAATATTTCATCCAAATTTTGAACCAATTCGACTATTTTTAAACAGCACCAGCGGACCGTAGTTAAGTTAAAAGCTATAAAAGCTTTTTGAGTTTTTCCTCAACTTTGAAGGAGAGGGCTGACATTTTAAAAAATGCGGCGTATTTATATATGTTCAGTACAACTGTTCTTATAAAGTTATACATTGTTACTAGATGATGTTTACTAATCGCCGTTTTTGTTGATTTTCAATATTTTAATTTATTAAACATGTATACACGTATACATTGTTACAATTTTCCAAAAAAATATCTAAAATCTGTAGTCTCAAATTTTGTTTTAGAAAAGCTCATAATATCATCAAATAACATTATCGATTATTAACGTGTTGGTTTTCTAAAAAAAATTGTTTTATTCAATTTTAATTTATTCCATCTGTAGTTTTGCATCAAAGGGTTTATTTGAAAATTATTTCTTCACTTTCCGCCTTAATAGCCCCTAAGACCTGTTACCTCCACTGTGCTGGCCTTTTTTTATTATTATGTGACTATTGTTGTTTCCGTCGTGTTCTCTACATCAGAGGTTTAGCGACGTTATATTTATTAATTAAACGATCAACCCC